TAAGTGTTAATGAGGTAATAGAATTTGATGAACAGAATAAAACAGCAAGTGATAATGAGGTAATAGAAGAAGATGAACACAATGAAACAACAGGTGATCATGAGGTATTAGAAGATGATAAACAGAATGAAACCACAAGTGATAAAGAGGTAATAGAATATGATGAACAAAATGAAATAGCAAGTGATAATGAGAAAATAAAAAATCATGATCAGATTGATACCACATGTGATAATGCTATTACCTCATTATCAGTTGTCATTTCATTCTGTTCATCATCTTTTCTTATCTCTTTATCATTTATGGCTTCATTATGTTCCTCATCTTCTGTTACCTCATTAACACTTATGGCTTCATTTTGTTCTTCATCTTCTATTACCTCTTTATCATTTGTGGTTTCATTCTGTTCTTCATCTTCTATTACCTCATTATCACTTGTCATTTCATTGTGTTCATCATCTTCTATTTCCTCATTATCACTTGTGATTTTACTCTGTTCATTACATTCTGTTACATCATAATCAGTTGTTATTTCATTCTGTTCTTCATCTTCTAATACCTCATTATCACTTGTGGCTTCATTCTGTTCATCATCTTCTATTACTTCATTATCACTTGTGGTTTCATTTTGTTCATCATCTTCTTACTTGTGGCTTCATTCTGTTCCTCATCTTCTGTTACCTCATTATCAATTATTATTTCATTCTGCTTATCATTTTCTATTACCTCATTATCAGTTGTGGCTTCATTCTGTTCAACATTGTCTATTACTTCATTATCACTTGTGGTTTCATTGTGTTCATCATCTTCTATTACCTCTTTATCACTTGTGGTTTCATTCTGCTTATCATGTTCTAATACCTCATCATTTGTGGTTTCATTCTGTTCATCATCTTCTATTACCTCATTATCACTTTTGATTTTACTTTGTTCATTACCTTCTATTACTTCATTATCACTTGTGGTATCAATCTGATCACCGTTTTCTATTACCTCATTATCAGTTGTCATTTCATTTTGTTCTTTATCTTCTATTACATCATTATCACATGTGGTATCATTTTCTACTACCTCATTATCAGTTGTCATTTCATTCTGTTCTTCATCTTCTGTTACCTCATTATCATTTGTGGCTTCATTCTGTTCCTCATCTTTTGTTACCTCATTATCACTTGTGGCTTCATTCTGTTCCTCATGTTCTATTAACTCATTATCACTCGTGGTTTCATTGTTTTCATCATCTTCTACTATCTCATTATCACATGTGGTATGAATCTGATCATCATTTTCTATTACCGCATAATCAGTTGTTATTTCATTCTGTTCTTCATCTTCTATTACTTCATTATCACTTGTGGCTTCATTCTGTTCTTCATCTTCTATTACTTCATTATCACTTGTGGTTTCATTGTGTTCATCATCTTCATTATAACATGTGGTATCAATCTGATCATCATTTTCTATTTCCTCATTATCATATGTGTTTTCATTCTGTTCTTCATATACTATTACTTCATTATTACATGTGGTATCATTTTGATAATGAAGTAATAGACAATGTTGAACAGAATGAAGCCACAACTGATAATGAGGTAATAGAAAATGAAGAACATAATGAAATAATAATTGATAATGAGGTAACAGAAGATGAGGAACAGAATGAAGCCATAAGTGATAATGAAATAATAGAAGATGATGAACAGAATGAAACCACAAGTTATAATGAGG